AATAAAACAGAAAACAAGATACCAACTAATGACCAAGTAAGAACTGTTTATTTATAAAACCATTTCAGTCAATGCAAAAACAACAACTTCGGTTTAGCAACAAAGCCGGACATCAGTTCTAAGCTCATTTCAAGTAATTTCAAACAATTAAAACAAGTTTTTACTAACCTCTAAAGCAGACGAAATTGACACGGACTAAAGAAGACTGAACTTATTTTATCAAACAGTCCTTCAACCTTTTGACCGTCCAAAGCGACAGGAATCAAAGCAACTCGCCTTTCAGACAATTTCCTTATCGATTTTTCTATCTGATGTCCACTTGGCGAAAAATAAGTTCTAAACAAACAATTCCTATTATCGATACATGAAAATTGTCTTTACTTATACGATGAATGTATAAAAGAGAAAAATCTTTGAGAGTGTCAGCTCTAGAATCGACAACATGGACAAACGGGTCAAAGTTTCCCACCAAAAACAAGTGATGACGTCACATAAAAAAACGATAATATAGTCTGAAACGCAATGCATTGTGGGGTACTACTGTTCCCTCCTCTAAGTCTGTGAGTCGATTTTTGCGTTAAAATATCAGTCGTTAAAGCGGCCAAAATTAACTTGATTCAAATACCTCCTTTTTCCCTACGTATGTTGGTCGCCATGTTGACAATAACATTAACACAGGAACAATAGCACAGGAAACCCAAACCGAGGTGAAACTTCATCGAKTCATAAAACAATGAAACGCAATTAGTGAAAAAGCAACGTTTTTATAACGTCAGGTTATGTTATAGACTGTATTTCAATTATATATAAACCAAGATTTATTTCAAATAAATTTACTTTCGATGAGTGAAACTATTGAAAGTTTTGAATCATTTTAATGTCGAACGTTTCGACGCTCTCCGGTGTCACTTTCAAAAGTCCCATGAGGAGAAAATTAGCAAAAGATCTTCGCCTTGACGGAATCCGATTGTTCAAAGATGGCTTTATTTTTTGGATATAAAGCAACTCATGATTCATCTAATACATTCTGCTTAAGCACTTTTAATATAAGTATTTTAAAATTAACGCCAAAGTCAAGTACCCCGGTGAGGCCTTGGAACACCAGGCGGATGCACCTGACTTTCAAAAGCGCTAATTCTAAAATAATTAAAAAGTGATTAAGCAAAATGAATTAGATGGTTCACACGTTTCTGTATATCCGAAAGATAAAGCCTTACCTGAACATCCAACTGGACTCCTTCAAGGCGAAGATGTTTTACTAACTTTATCAACTTAGTTATAATCAGACATTTAACTTTGCTGTTGAATAATTATTTGATTTTCTCTTGAAAATGATGKTTTAGTTTTGCGTTAGTTTTTACTCTTCAAATTACAAACAAAGCAAAACTGTAGTCAAAATCCTGCTATCCTCCTATAAGTACCGCTGACCGTTGACCGCGTGAGCAAAATGTCCTTCTATCGTTACTTTTGAAAGGACACAGGTGTCACGGTGTTACAAGAATGGCATAGATGGATATGACGTTTATGACAACACACAAACTTATAATAACCGCAATCGTCATCAACATTTTATAAATCAAATCGCTGTCATATCTGTAATTGAAGAGTCCTGATGACAATAACATGAACATTATTTCCCTTTTAGGACCAGCACCATTGAGGTTACTGCATAAGACATCTTCACATTCATCAGTGGAAGGCATTTTACAGATTTATTACAATGGTGTCTGGGGAACAATATGCGATGACGGATGGTCATTGGCTAGTGCAACTATAGCATGTAAAGAGCTTGGCTATCAGTTTGCAGTTATGTCCAAGCACTTAGGACAAGGACCTGATCCAATTTGGCTTGATAATGTTAAATGTAACGGCGATGAACCGTCACTAGACCAATGCCWTCACAGAGGATGGGGTAATCATTACTGCAGTCACTTTGAAGATGTCGGCATCGTGTGTAATACTAGTAAGTACATCTTGATAACAGCATTACTACATTTTTCATAAAATGATTAAAACGGATGGTAAACTAATATGAACTGCGTCGGCGTTCGAAAGAAAGAGTTGTGTGAATTACGATAAATTGTTTATTGTAAAAAATAGTTGTAACAACTTACTGACATTTTTGACGYTATTCCTTCGTTAGAGTAATAAAGTAATTACTGCAATAATGATAATAATGTTATTTACCGTCATTATGGTTACTGGAAATAGAACCTTGTCCTGTAGACCACATGCCTTTTAATTGGTCATGACCACTCGACCATCTCGTCTCCTACTGATTGGAGATTATTTTTCTTACACAGAAACAGCGCCATTGAGATTGTTAAACAAAACAAAACCTGCTTCATCATTAGTTCAAGGTATTTTACAGATTTATTACAATACTTCATGGGGTACAATATGCGATGGCGGATGGTCCTGGACTGCTACAAACATAGCTTGTAAACAGCTTGGCTACCATAGTGCAGCGACATTCAAGTACTTGGGAAAGGGACCTGATCCAATTTGGCTGGATGGATTGAAATGCAGTGGCAATGAATCGTTACTAGATCAGTGCCAGCACCGAGGATGGGGTATCCATAACTGCACTCACAGACAGGACGTTGGCATCATGTGTAATACAAGTAAGGAACACTTAATTCTCATGCTAGATGTTGAGTATTTTAATGCGACTTCTAACAGAAAGGGTCATTTAGAATCGACGAAAGCGCACTTCAAAGGGTTAGTTATTTCCTGGTGAAAGTGAAACACTTATCATCTGAAGTTTAAACTAAATGCAAGACTCAACTTTTGCACTAAACTACAACAAATAACTTTTATGTGCGAACTTTTAACGCTTTACATGCATGCAAACGTACCCTGGTTCCAGAGGCTTGTCTTTTATTCTTTTGCTTAATATGTTATCGAGCCGCGAAGCGGCGAGACGTTTCCGTTAATCGGTTTGTTTTTTTCGCCAAGCCTCTGGTCACAAGCGTAGTAAATCTCACGATGATGTATTCAAGCAAACCAATCACAAATCGGAGTGTTTTAGCTGTCAAGCATGTCAAATAAACGAACCAATAAGAGTTCATGACAGAAAACAGATCATATTACTCCGATTTGTGATTGGTTTGTTTGAATACAGCATGAAAGTGAGATTCACTACGCTTGAGACCAGAGGCTTGGCGAAAAAAACAAACCGATTAACGGAAACGTCTCGCCGCTTCGCGGCTCGATAACATAGTAAGCAAAAGAATAAAAGACAAG